GGCATCCCAAGAGCCAACATTGCTAGGAGGATTACGATTATAGTACCTAGTATAAGAACTAGTCGAGAGCGCCGGAGTCGTCCTTGTGCAGCTTTCTGCTAGTTTTTTTCAACCTAGCCTTAGTCGTCTCGGGTTTGGGGTTGAGTAGCGAAGGGGATGCTCCAGATGAGATAATGTGGAGATCCTCATCAGAATCATCCTTTAGTTGTTGGTTTGTAGATAAAAAGTATGGAGATGGAGTAGTAGTAGTAGTAGTATTTCTCTTACCCTTTTCCTGGAGCCAAGCAGGAGTCTTGGAGAGACAAGATTTGCATCGCTGCACCTGAATATGAGGGAAGCAGAGCGAGGGTCGGTATATAGGTGTCACTCTTGGAATCGGCACCGTTTCTGGCATCGCTCAAGCTGTCGTCTTGAACCCAAGAAGAGGAGGCGGCATCAGCATCAGCATCGTCATCGAACTGATGATTTGATTTGTGATTCTGATGCTTCCAGTTATGCAAGAAGACGGCGCTGTGTTTGGCATTGGGCAATTCCAGGTCGGGAGGGGGATGATGGCCGGCATGGAAGTGGTTTGTGAAAAGGGTGGAAGAAAAGGGTGGAAGAAGAAGCAGGAGGAAGGACAGACCTGGAGGTGGACTTCCAGGAGTAGGTGGTGCCTGGATCACGGAGGAGGCGGGCAGCTTTTCCGATTTGGGTGAGCTCCTTCTTCAAGTGGTGGGAGGTTGGATCAGACATGGCTGCCTGCCTGCCTGCCTCTTTGATGCAGTTAATTTGCACAGGGAAAGAAAGAAAGAGGGGTTTTACAATTAATTACATTTGATGATGAGAGAGATGAGATGAGATCTGGTTGATGGGATGGGGGAAGCAAACAAGAAGAGCTTTAAATTTTATTTTTAATTTTACAGGTTACTCTTCTCTTACTATTACGATACTCATCACAGAGCCCCAGAGCCTTACAGAGATAGTGAAACAAAGAGAATCAAATAAGTAAATGGGAGGGAGGCCACTAGACCTGAGAAAAATTCACTCGAATCCGTCAATTTTATTTTAATTCAACACGTAAAAAATGGGTTAGGATTTACCTATCTCAATCCGTAATCCGTTGATAATCCATATTATCAACCTATACAAGTTATGAGTCAGGTTAAGATCAACCCGCAAGTTAATAGTTTGATCCTTTTATTTTATTTTTTATTATTATTTTTAAATATTATATTTATTATTCTTAATTAATTCTCTTATTGGTAATTGCTTCCATTAATGCATATTCCTTAATTTATAGAGAAAGAAGAAGAAATTATGATAAGTTTGATTTAATTACCCAAGTATCATTTTTTTTTTGTATTAACAATTACTCAAATATCATAAATGAAATGATAATGCAACTAAAAATATTAAAAGATGTGATGTTAAGCCATAAATATAATAACTTAGTGAAAGATGTTCTTGGAAAAGCAATTTCATCATTAAAAAAATGGATTAAATTACTTGATAATGTTTCAAGATAATTATAAAATTAAAACTTTATTTTTCAAAAAATTTAAATATTTTACGTTTAATATTTTATTGTTAATCAATTTATTATTGTTTATAACTTTTTTATTTTTTTCTTAATTTAAATGTTTGTGATTAAAACTATAAAGTATTTAATGTTAATGAATCACAATATTTTAATTAAATTTAGATTTATATAATTTTATTTGTATATAATAAAATTATAATGAATCACAATATTTTAATTA